TGAAAATTCATTAGAAATTCTATATTAAGCCAAATCTGGTAATTTCTAAATAAAAAATTAAATTTGAGAAATCTAGTTTCATAATAAATTTTTAGATTATGGAATGGATTTATAATTTAAGCATAGAATTAATTTAAGAAAATGTGATAAATCTGTGTCATAAACTTTCTTGGAATATTTTTAAATTATTTATAATTTATTTTTGGAAAATGCTTTCTGAAAAATAACCATAGCATGTTTATTGAGTATCCTATGGATTTTTACGAATTTTAGAATTTTATGAGTAATTTATTTATAATTTTAACTACGAAATATATATTCTGAATTTTCTGGACAGATTTAAGATTATTGCTTCAATTATTTAGTTGGATAAAAAAATTAATATTGTTCTAGTCTAATCTTGTAAATTAAAAATCCATGCATATGTGTGATTATAGTTTATTTTCTTTGTATCTAAATTATCATTTCATACCATGATTTAAATTAATTGTTTATTTAAATTTTGTACATTAATTTATTATTGTATGACATGTGTAATATTTTATGTTGGAAATTTTAATGAGTTGGTATAACATTATTGGTGATTAAAATTTGAATTATTTGTGATTAATGTAAAAACTAACTGAAATGATTAATGGCTTATACAAGGTTAACAATTGAGGGTTAATACCAGCTGTTCAGAGTGAGCACTGGTTTTTAATAATTTTTATATAATTGTATTACAAAACCCTAAGATGGCACGAGACTTATTTGAACTCTTATCGGTATTTGGTTTTGGGATAAGGGTGGATGTACGGGTGGCACGCATGGAGGTTACATACTCCTGGTAGACCGTTCCCTTGGAATAGATCACAGATGCCATGGCTTGGGTATATAACTCTGGGTGTAGGCATCCTTAGTAGTTCTTGAATATTTGACCAATGGGGGGTTCAAATTAACCGTAGTTATGGCTTAGTGGTTGGTAAGAAAATCTCTTTAGTGAGATTTTGAGTGTCACCTAAACTATTAAAATTGTCGAAATTATTATAATGGTTGTTACCTTTATCATGCTATTAATTTTTATTATTATTTTAATTGTCATAATCTGATTATTTTCTCTTCAAAAGAATGGTAGGTTGATTATGTTTTCTTATTGTGTTGCAAAACTCATGACATATATTTTGTTGTCTTGGCGTTTTATGCCAGATTATGATGAGGAAGGGACTGAAGCCGAAATTGGGGCCGCTGCTAATATAAAACCGTGGCTAACTTGAAGTTAAGAATTTAGAAAAATAAAATTTTATTATCTCTTGTATTAGTAATTAAGAATGTTATAAAGTTGTTGTAATGTTGTATGCAGACTCGTAATTTTTTTTTGTGTGTTGTTAAACTTTAACTATGTGAGAATTTAAATTTCTCTAATTAGATGTTAAAATTTTTATTTAGCAAGTTAGTTTGTTAGTTAAATTTTATCATGTTCCAAAAAATTTGAACCGTCACACATTGAGTCAACTTGACATCTTTAGGTGACAATCCGGTTGTGCCTAAATCCTTTCGAATCTACAAGGAAGAAAGTTGGGTCGAGGTGGGGCAGGCCTAGCTAGATGGGCACAAATTCCTCGTAAAGTTACATATCAAGGTTCCTTTCAAAATACAAATTGATTTGGTTTCAAGTAATAAAAACATTTATTGATTATATTTTTCGAACAATTATTATTATTATTATTATGACTTTTTGATGATTTATATACTTTTTTTTGAGTTGCCTTACATTGTTGCAAATGGAAACTATTGAGGTATTCACTGGTCAGTGTTAGTAATATATATATTTCTCAAACTAGGGATCATCTGTTTTTTTTTTTTTTTTTTTTTTTTTTTTTGGTACCCAAAGAGTTTAAAAACCAAAATTGTTCCATTTAGGTAACTTTCTCATTTTAACTATTGTTTGACAGCCCATATTAAAAAGTTTGACAAAGTTTTCACACCCGATGCAACAAAACATTTTGGCCCGTATTGCCTAGGATACAGCAGTATTGTATCAATTAATAGTCATGTTGACCTTTAACTATTTTGCAAAAATGGATGAATCCAAATCTCCAAAACAAAAATCACTTACAAGTAACTTGAAAATCTTTATACAAAAATATATAGGAAAGACTCTACCCCATGGTTCTATGTGAATATGAAAAACTTTTGTAACTCAATGCTTTTAAGTGGGATCATCAAGAATGCCTCTCTTTCCCCTCTCTGCAGTAATCCATTCACATGGCATGCCAAAAAAGGCACTAAACTCTTCAATTTCATTAGGATGGGATTCTCTCCGGCCCTCATATAGATTGGAGACCACTCCCCGTCCATTACAAGTTTTGTTTTAATTATTTAAAATTTTTTAGGGTGATCTCATAATCGTAACATTTTTATTTTATTATATATATATATTTTAAATATGAATGGTTTATTTTATAAAAATATACTAACTGTTAATTTTTTAAAACAAAAACGATAAAATAGAGATGTTATGATTACCAAATCAATTTAATTTTTTTATTTTTATTTTTTATTTTATAAATGATATAAACGAAAAGATCTAAAAAATAAATAGTATGAATCATTGAAAACGAAACGAAACAATGCCTCTCTAATTCAAATGAGAATGGAAGAGAAGCTCATCCCTCATTTATTAGACTTAATTCAGTATCCAATTTAATGCAATAGGAATGCACTATTCCATTAATAATTATGAGGGTAAATTACACTTACCTCCCTGAGATTTCTGACAATTACATAAATCTCTCCTATAGTTTCAATAATTATAGAAACCTCCCTTATTTTTTCTAACATAGTCAAAATTCTCTCCGCCCGTTAATTTAAGCCAAATGGTATTAACTTGGTTATACAAATGACCATAATACCTTTTGCACTTAATGCCCATTAATTGTAATTTATCTATATATTAAAATAATCATTTTATTTCTCACTATTTTTTTTTTTTGACTTTTTTTTTTCCGCTATAAGTTTTGAACTTTTATAAGTTTAAAAAATAAAATAAAATCAACCATTAGTGAAATTAAGAAAGAACATCCATGTTTCTTATTGAATTAATTTTGAGATTTAATTTAATAAAAATAATTTAAATGAAAGAAACAAAGATGGAGATATAGATTTTAGATGAAATAAATAACAAATTATTTGAGTATTTTATTATTTTCAAATAATTTATTTCTTCAAGTAAAATTCTGTTTTAATTAGATGTAAGAAATGACAAATTTAAATAGTTTATTATTCTCAAATAATTTCTTTATCTTTCATTCCCTATCATTTAATTTTGATTTATTGTAACATAATTAGATAGTTTTTCACTTTTATATTTATTTTTAAAATTTTTATTATTAAGGTGAGAAATATTGACTTATTTTTTTAATGATAATTAAAATTTAAGAATAATATAGGATTGTGAAAAGATAAAATGATAATTTTTTTATATATATATTTATGAGGTAACATTTGGTAATTTTTATAAGTCAATTTTTTTTTAGGGGGATGTTTTTTAAGGTCCATGGTATTAAGATTTTATAGCATAAAGGACACTCAATATTTTCATAATGTCTAAGGCCCCTCAACATCAATCTAGAGAAAATTCAATCCAGAGAAAATTCAATGCAGAGAATTTCTCTGGACACATCACAGAGAAAATTTCAAATTTCTCTGGACATATCACAGAGAAAATTCTAAATTTCTTTGGACACTGCTTTGCTTCTTAATATTAGTCCTCCGAGGGTAGTGATATAATCCAAAGATCCAATACCTATTAATTCAGTACCTATTAATTCAATCTACATTCTGTAATTCATGGACTAAAACATGGATTCCAAATTTCAATCCAGAGAAAATTTCAATCCAGAGAAATTTGAACACCCAGAGAAAATTCCAATCCAGAGAAAATTGAACATTTCAAACTAGAGATTAGTACATATTAATTTCAAACTACACGCTGTAATTCATGAAGGTAGTGATATAATCCAGAGATCTAATACCTATTAATTCAATCTACACTCTGTAATTCATGGACTATAACATGGATTCCAAATTTTAATCCAGAGAAAATTGAATGAACACCTAGAGAAAATCTCAATCCAGAGAAAATTGAACACCTACAGAAAATCTCAATCCTAAGAAAATTGAACATTTCAATCTAGAGATCATTACCTATTAATTTAAATCTACACTCTGTAATTCATGAGAGTAGTGATATAATCCAGAGATCCAGTACCTATTAATTTAATCTACACTCTGTAATTCATGGACTAAAATATGGACTAAAACATGGATTCCAAATTTCAATCTAGAGAAAATTGAATGAACACCCAGAGAAAATTTCAATCCAGAAAAATTTGAACACTCAGAGAAAATTTCAATCTAGAAAAAATTGAACATTTCAATCTAGAGATCAATACCTATTAATTTCAATCTACACTCCGTAATTCATGGCCTAAAATATGGATTCTAATGACACAACCTTGAGATCCACAACTTGATGACTGCCCAGGTTGCAACTTCTCACAAATCACAAAGAAAGATTCCATGTATCCGAGGAGCAAAATAATTTTCCCATTAAAGAGAGAGAGACACACACACAAAGATAGTGCACTATTTATATACAGAGAAACAGAGGAGCAAAATAGTTCAAATAATTTCACCAGAATCTCACATTTCAACTTCTGAATTGGTTTAATCATCTATTCACAGTTAATTGTTGAACCAGTAAAAATTGTGAACAAAGCACAAAAGAGCCACACCAAAGAAGAAGAAGAAGAAGAAGAAGAAGGTGGTTGTTAACAAAGACTACAAAATTCCAAGAAAAGAAGAAAAAAACTTGCAGAAATTAGTAAAATTTGCCTCCAAAAAACAAAAAATTACAGCAAAGTGGAAAAACAAAAACCCATTATCAATCATATATACCTGTCTACCTTAAATTCATTTTTGTTGAAAGCATTAATTAGTTTTTGAGATGAGCTCAATAATCAGGTCTGCTCAGAAACTCTCAACCATATACATACAACACTAAAACTGAGCACCAAGCTCAACAACCCACTTCCCAATCCGATCCCCACAATCGCCATAATCGAAAGGCCTTTACTTTTCAATGGCGGCAATGGGTACCCATAGAGATCCTTATTCCCCACATACGAGCTGGAATTAAACCTCACCAAATTCCCAGTCCGGTTCCCCAACGCCACCGGAATTGAACTCGCTAATCGGTTATTCGACACATCGAAAACCAATAACAGCACCAGAAGCCCCAGTTGCTACGAAATCGGACCTGTGAGAAGATTATTGCTGAGATCGATGACGTTGAGGTAGGCGCAGAAGGTGATTTGGGGGGTGGGATTTGGGCTAAGAGGAGATTGGAGGAGAGGTTTAGAACAGAGAGGTTTAGAACGGCGAGGTTGACCAGGAATTAGAGAAGAGGAGGTTACAGGAGAATCAGATTGTGTGGGATTGGAGAATTTGCTTGGGGGTAAAGAAATTGAGGAAGAAGACAGCAGACAGGTTGAATGATGAGAGAGAGAGAGAAAGAGATGAAATAGAGAAGGTAGAGAGAGAAATGAGGTTTGATAGAATGAAGATCAGAAATAAAGAGAGTCAAATTTCTCTGATATGATATATAGGTGTGGGTTTAGGGACCTTAGACATTAAAAAATAATATTGTGGATCTTTTCCATTACTAAAAATTGGAGAGGGACCTTAGACTAATTTTTTCTTTTTTTATTATAAATATGAAATGCTATTATGTTTATTTTTCTTAAAAAAAAATTAATACACAAATATGTTTACAAAACAAAAGAAAAATTTATATTTCATAAATTGCTATGGTATTGGGTGATGTTAGCAAACATTGATGAAAGAGAAAAAATGATGAAAAAAATTGAGAATAAAACATAGAGAAGTGAACAAATAATAATAATAATAAATTATATGGTGTTGCTATTTTCTGCAGTGACAATATGAAAAAATAAATAGAAAGAAATAAAGTAAAGAAAATGGAAAGAGAGGGATAATTTCTCCAAGTGGGTATTTTCATATGGAAAAAAAAAATCAAATACCTATATGTATTTTTAAATTTTTATTCAAACTCTAATTTCTCAAAATAATTATTTCTAAAATTGGTGGTCTTTTAAAAAATAAAACATCTTTTATACTTTGTTTCGTAATTTTCAAAAAAATGATTGTATTTAATCTAGTATAAGGTTTAATGATGATCAATTTTTTTTTTTTAGATAAGGTAATGTTTGGTTATTCTATTATATATATGCTTGTCTTAACAATTTAGAATTTTTTTAAATATTATATAAAATTTAATAATTTTGTTTAACATTATTAAAGTAATGTATGGGTTTTTATTAATGTTTTTGTAAAACGTCAGGAGAGGTGAGTGAAATTTACTATTTAAATATATAAGAACAATTTTAGAATTTTTTACTCATAGTACATGGCGTTAGCATAATGTCATCATATTGTGTTAAATAAATTAATAGAAGATTAATACTGGGGGAATCTTAATAATAGTTTCAAAAGTAAAAGTGATTTCTGTAATTATTAAGACTATATGAAAGATTCCTGTAATTGTGAGAAATTTTAGGGGAGATGAGTGCAATTTACCGTAATTATAATAATGGTTATTATATATCTCCACCAATGCAACTGTTGACTGATTGAGCTCCTCTGTAAATGTAATATTAATATTAAAATAATATATGCAAAGGATTATACACCAACTACTACAACGTCATCTTTTCATCCATCTTTTAATTATATATAATATAATAATTGTATCATGCATCATCTTTATTTTATGTTTGAATTTTGTGACCAAATGCAAACGAAAACTAATTTCCAAGCAAGCAGGCATTAGTTGATTTTAGTTACACCACAGGTACAACCTAACCATTTTAATGATCTTATTAAAATAATATATGCAAAGGATTATACACCAACTGCTATTGTTTTAATTAATTATTTCTTAATTTATCAAATTGTAATTTTTTTTATTTAAGCTTTATTTTTCTCTTTTTGAGACATAAAATAGACATAAAAAAATTCACTTTCCATTAGGTGAATTATACATAAAATTATTAATTTAAGTGAAATATCACTTTAGTTCTCGCAATTTTAATCTGAACAACTTATACTTTTAATTTTGTTGTAATGCAGTGATAGAAAAATTTACAGAACATAAATTAAAAACCATTAAGGATTTAATTCTATATATGAAAACTATATGAATTTCTACTATACAAAATAAGTGAATACATACCTTGATCCATGATAGTATGAAATCATCTTGTAAGAAAGAGAAACCTTGAATGAAAGACATTGATCTTTAAATTCTTTACTTGTTTAAGATTTTCAAACCACTTATCTTTCTCTAGGCGATGTGAGTCTTATTGTGGTAACAACTTGAGTTTTGTGATGGAGAGTGTGGTTTGGGACCTTACACTAAGGGTCTGTTTGGCAAGTTAGTTTCGAGGTATTTTAGCTACAAAAGACAAAATAGGCTATTTTAGCCATAACAAACAAAATATCACATCCAACCCATAATTATTACACTCTTCTCTCACAAAAAAAGTCAAAAAAGCCAAAAAGTCAAAAAGTCCTTTCCAAATCAAGCTTTTTAGCCCAGGCTAAAATAGCTAAAAAAGTCAAAAAGCCAAAAAGCCAACACACTTCCCAAACGGAGGCTTTCCATCAAAGAATCCATTTATTCAATGAATTTCATTAAATAGATTAATGTATCTTATACATTTATGATACATAATGCATCTTCTATATTAATGAATCTATCATATTCAATGCATTGATATTATCTCCATTACTCTTCTATACATTATGTATATATAGGTGTATTCATCAATGATTAGTCACCATCTAATTGATGTACATGTATCTTACTTAATGAGATGAATCTAGTATAATCATGCATAAGCCATATTAAGCCATATTTAAGAAAAATTCTTACATGCAATACTTCCGTTATGCAATATGTTAACATTTTAAATGGAAAACGATGACATCAAAAATTAAAGTGATCAAAATAGAATTCAAAAGAATCTATAAAAACTATTAGTGTAATTTAATTATTACATCAGTGGTCTCTATAATTTATTTTAAATTTTACTTTGGTTATGTTAATTTTACATGTGATATTTTTCTGTTCAAAATTCTTATGACAAGTGAAAGATCATATTATAACAAAATTAAAAATGTAAAATTCCAACTGCTTAAATTAAATTAAAAATTTCAAATAAAATTTCGCCCAAAACTAGAAGGACAGACAGCACAATGTACCCTTAATTGTTTTTTTTAATACATTTTAAAATTAATAACATCACTAGCAGTTGTCAAATTCACCCAATATGGGGCAGCTGTGGAATGCTCAAGAAAATGGTTGAGGAAATCAAGGAAAATAAGTGTCTTGTAGCATTTGTGGGCTTTTAAAGCATACACACAATAACAAACATTAGGAATATTGCCAAGTGGACAGAATTAAAATATAAAAAATATATTATATAACTAAAGTTTATTTTAATTATGATTTATATAATTTAAGATGAATTTCAATTATATAATGCATTTAATATACGCATTAACATTCTGTATTTTATTTATGTACACTTATAACATATAGCCAGAGAAAGTGCATTGTTTGTTACCACTGGAAAAAATTTCATTGGTTATGTACTTTTAGATACAATTGGGTTGGTGTGGTAATTTTCATATTTTATAATTTTATATTTATGTTTACTTAAGATAATTACAAATAAGAATAATTTAGTGTCTATTTTGTTTGTTTGTTTGTTTTTTAACTAAAAAGAATTTATTTTATCTCAATCTCTTAAAAAATTTTATTTCCACACCTATTTATTTTTGTGCGCATCAGTTCTCAGTATATATACTTATTAATATGGTTATATGTTATTATTCTCAATCCATACATCAGATGTTCCAATTATACACCTAACTCATGTCCTTGTACATACACCACCTAAACCCTCCATCCACATACATGTTCAAAATTCCAAATCCATTTTCGAATCCATTTTTGGTTCCATCCACATTGAAGACATAGTAAAGACCCTCCATTGAGAACTACATTGAAGACCTACATTGCATTGTTGAAGGTGAGTATCTCTCTACCATTCTGAAACCTTTTTATCCCATTTCGTTATATGTTATTTTTCATAAAACATTTATTTTTTCTTAGAAGATTTTTGATTTTGTGCATTCGGCACTGGTTTTCCAAATATAAAAGTATTATTTGGCTTTTTATTTCCAAAAATTTTTTGGAACTTGATTTCCAAATTTAATTGTTGCATTCGAAACTTGAATTTTGACAAAAATAAAATTTTTGGCTCTGGTTTGCCAAATGAAAATCGTGAAACAAAAAAAAAAAAGAAGGAATTGTTTGCATAAAAAAACTCGCCTTTTCATCGTTGTATTTGTTGTAACTGGGCATATTCTTATTTGAAGTTGTCAATGGACAATAGAGTAAGTGAGAAACACGGGAGGAAGTGAGAAACAACAGAGAAATTAGCGTTTAATTTTTTTAATCAAAAGATATGTACTGAGATTTTTTGTTTTTAAAAGATGTGTATAGAGAAAATTTTGATTTAATATTAAGGGTATATTTTGATATCCATTATGATCATTTTGCTTTAAGGTATAATTGTCATCAAAATTATCTTTCATTAAGTATGTACACAGAAATAAATAAATGTACGAAAATAAAATTTCCCCAATCTCCTACTCTTTTTAGTCATTATCCATCACATATCATTATTGTTGGCTATTACCATCACGCCCCGAAATAATGAACATAATAAGGATTTATCAATTTCCAGTTATGTCATCTTGTTTCCAATCAACACTTCCAATGCTTAATATATAAACATAAAATCTCAACATAGATATTATTATCTTCTCGTATAATCCTATTGATCAAGTCTGCGCTCCTCTGTACGTCGTCGCTTTATTACCTGAAAACACAAACGTGAGCTAGCCGGCGGGTGTGTGCCGGAAACCTCTCCGATGCCTAAGTCAGTAACCTTGACAAATAGACAAAAGTTCTGTGTATTCAGAAAGCAAAGTTGTGCGTTACCTCTCCAAAGGTGATGTTTGTGAGCTTTTATAGGTTTCGTATGGCACAATCCTAGTAGGACTTCTACTCCTCCATGCAGAGTCCTCCTAGGATTCATACTCCTGAAAGATAATGCTTATCCTTCAACACCCCCCTCACTGCTTAAACCAAGTGAGATGGTTTTTACCATGGCCGAACTCCAACATGGCCAAAGTAATCATCGCTATGCTGAGCCACAGAGTAGGCCGAACTATCCTTAGTTCGGTTCTTCCTTTCACTACACCTTATCTCGGTTCTCTCATGTACGAACCATGGTGTGTTTAGACCGAGCTACCGAGTAGCAAAGTTCTGACCGTTCTAACCACAATACGCCATGACCGGACTAACACTGAGACCGGCCTAACTCCAAGTCGCTTCCGAACCGGAGTAACATTACATTTATCTCGGGCCAGAGTAATTTTGTACCTCTCTTGGGCCGGAGTAATTTTACGGCCTTTTTACTCAGCCCTTCGTATTGTGGGCCATAATGACCATCTCCTAGCTCGGCCCAATTTTTACAAAAATTACCCTCTCAATTGCCCTTTAATTCCATCTGCGCAGCATGATAGGGATTACCTGTCTATCAGCTGAGCTGAAGTTTTTAAGCCTTTCCAGCCGAGCTAAAAACAGTTTAGCTTTTCCAGCCGAGCTAAAACTCTTAATCCTTCCAGCCGAGCCAATTTCACACCGGGCTCTGCTTGTCCGGTCAAAAACGTCTCTTCAATCACAGCAACTGAATCGTTTCTCTTTCCCAGGACACGTGGCACGCTCTGATTGACTGAGGACGGCTGTCACGCCGTCTTCGTACTTCGTGAAATTTAAACAGTCCCGTCCTTTTTCCTTTACCTAAAACGAGCCTCTTCACTTTGCCATATTTTGCAACTTTTCCTTATCTGAGCCTCCATTGCTTCTTCATTTTGACACTCTTTGCAATTTTTCCCTCTCTGTGCCTCTACTCCTTCTTCAATCTTCTGAGCTCGTGTTCATCATAACTGTTAGTCTCCCTCCAACTCTTGCCTCTTCATTAGGTAAGCACTGTACCTTTGCTTTGTTTTCGTAGTTTGCTTTCTGTGTTTTGTTTTCTGTGTTTTTGCAAAACGTATTTTTCCATTTTGCTTTGCTCTGTACTTTTATGGAAAAAACTTCACCATAGAACACATGAGTATATGAAATATCCTGTAGAAAACTAGTTTTTGATCCAAAATCATGATGCAACCGAACTAGGATACTGTTTAAACTAGGTAAAAGTCTAGTTAGCTTACAACCGGACTAACACTTCATGTTTACACCAGTAGCTTTGAAGAAGTCAAACCACTTCTTGAAAAACCTTAGCCGAGGTAACAAACCGAACTAAATTTGCACTTAGCATACTGAGATACCTGAATTCCAACCGATCTTAGGCCTTCGGGGCTAAACCAGCTTTCTTAGTTTTTTAGACCGAACTCTGAAAGCTGCCCCTAGACGATCAACCGGTCTAACAAAATCGTTTCCATAACCGATATATCGAGACGCTTGCCAAGGCCGAGCTAATAAAAACCCTGCTCAAACTGAGCTACCCATCACCTTGTAGAATACTGAGATAGAGCCTGTAACATCCCTCAAAGCCGAAGTAGGACTTTTTTACCTTGCTTTTAATTTGTAGCACAACCCAATGATCTGTGCTTAACACCTTTGTTCTTCACTTTGCAGACTTAGGTCGCCCAGGCACTCTTCTGCGCGTTCAACCGAGCTACTGAGCACAATTTTTGTACCAAACTAATTTATTTATACTTATAAAATAAATGGGGAAGTATAGATTTTTAGTAAATACTCCGGGCGGTCTAGCCGAATTCCGAAAGGATTACAATATACCCGATGACGTCCACCTGATCTTAGCCGAAAAAGATGCCATACCCTAGGGGAATGAAGGCTTTGTCCCCTTCACACTCTTGTCCATAATTGAAACCGGACTACGATTTCCAGTCCAACCCTTAATTTGTGAGTTTCTTAGGCAAACCAGACTATGCCCAACCCAACTATCCACCAATTCATACCGTATAATAATGGGAATAACCGAACTAAATCGCCAAGCCAGTCTCAACCTCGGTCTGGCCGAAATCTTCCACCAATATTCCATTGGTTCAAAAGAAGATGGGTGGGTCTACTATTTAAGAATACGCCGTCGCCGAGAGAAGATAATAAAATATACACCGGATAAAGAT